ACATGCTAAACGAACGTAAACGAACGAACGGGCTAAACGAACATAAACGAACGAGCTAAACGAACATAAATAAATATTATTTGAATTCAAAGTAAATAAATAAAAGATTATATATTAAATTTAATAAATAAACGAACATAAACGAACGAATATAAACGAACGGTAAATGAACAAACGTTCACGAACATAAATGAACGAACGAGACTCTTGTTCATGTTCGTTCGTTTAACTAAACGAACAAAAAAATTTGTTCATATTCGTTCATTTATTAAATAAATGAACTTCCCGCCGAACGGTACACAAACGGTTCACTGAACGTTCGGTTCGTTTACAGCCCTATATATGATTGGTTTGAGCTTGGATCCAAAGATCAAAAGTACTAGGAGGTCCCAGATTCAAATCCAATGAGAAATAAAAATCCTTTTGTGACCACGGAGATTCAAATGTGGTGACTGTGGTTTATCTGCAAAGTAGGTGGTCGTCCTGGGATCAGTCAACTCGCATAGCGGCTGGGATAATTATTTATAAAACCATAACATCAAAATTATATTTATAAATTAACTGAAAAAGTAAGCCAACAAGCGGTTCTATGGTGTAGTGGTTAGCACTCTGGACTTTGAATCCAGCGACCTGGGTTCGAATCCCGGTAGGACCTTTTTTAAAAACCCATTCATTTGGGCTAGCCATCTTTGGCCCATTTAAACATAACACATTTCACTTAAATCTATTTTAGAGTAAATTACGAATTTAGTCCCCGTGGTTATTAATTTTTTTAGATTGGGTCCCTCAAACAAAATAATTGCATATATAGTTCTCATGGTTTTTACTTTTGTTATGGATTAGGTCCCTTGCACTAACTCCACTAACTGACATTTCATTGAATCAGGGGTGATATCGTCTTTTTGCATATTTTTTTAGAATTATACTTGTTATATATTTAACACTATATAAAAGTATATCTAGAACATATTCATCGCCCTATATTGGTCCCTTTCGTTCCGGCATCGATGACCCTTCCTGCGGGCACCTCTAGCTTTTCGGTAGCATCTGCCAAATTGCCACTACCGGCTTCCCCCTCTCTGGCCACATCTTTCTGTTCATCATCTGTCCAACACCTCTAGTTTTCTGGCTACCACAATAACCCCTCATTGTTCATCATCCTTCCTCTCCACCATCGATCACCATAAAACTAGAACATCAATGGCCACCACTATGAGAATATCTCCATTAAAGCCAATTGCCACCGCTTTTGAGACTCAACCTCCATCAAACCTAATGATCACCATTGTTCAAACTCCATCTCCATCAATTCAAGGTCAAAACCTCAAATCTCCATCGTTTTTTCAGATCTGCTTTGTGTGTGCGCTTACAAACGTTCCAGTTCTTTTCCAGTGTACTCACTTTATATCTCCGACACACAATGAAGGACACAACAGATGATGAACATCGATGGGGTTCTTTTGGTCAGACATCGACTCTTCTACCTCTAGAAAAGATTAAGATGAAGTTTGTCAAAACTTTGGTTGAGAGAAACAATTGAAAATCAACAAAAATCGAAGGTTATTCCAGCCCCATTTTCTTCTTATTGGATATTATGCACTTGATCCTTATTTTTGCTATTAGTTAGGTTTTTTTAGGAGAACCCGCATTGTAGATCATATACTGGTGGGTTTTTATTTCTTGTTCTTTGTTTGTGTAATGACTATACAAAGCCTATAGTTTACTTTCCATAATAATGTGACAATTTAGCAAATTCATCAACTCTTCGCACTTCTCTGTGATTTTTTGGAGTTTGGATAAGGGTTTTGTATTTTAAGAGTTTGGTTATGGTTTTTTTCACATGGAACGAATTTTAGGGCTTTTGTGGGTGGTCGAGAAGACGTTGTTGTGGGTCATCGTTGGAGAAAGGAGGGTCTGTCGGAGAACATGATTGGAATGTTGATAAGGAATGACGTCAAATCCACAACGGAGATCGAGATCTAGGGGAAGGTGTGGACCGATGGGAAGTACCAGATGGCAAGAGGAGTTGTGAAGATGATATATATATATATATATATATATATATTATACATTGTTTTTCTTTTTGTTTTTAAAGAAAAAAAAAAGAAAATGACAATATTACCCAAAGTGGAACCATGGTGACTATACATGTAATTATTTTGTCCAAAGGACTTAATCCAAAATTTTCGATAGTCACATGGACGAAATTTGTAATTTACTCTATATTTTAATTTGGGGTATTATCTTACACCAATGGCCCAATGTAGCAAAAATGGGTCCGTTGGGCCAGGCCCAAATAGGTTTTGGCCTGAGATTTTCCTTTTACAACCGGTGCGGGTGCAAGTGCGAGTAGGACCAAAAATACCTGGCCTATTCTCCATGTTCAAAGCCTAGTCGACTGGTCTAGACCCAGCCTCGAGACGGGCCCAAATGGGTCCCAAATTTCTTTTCCCAATAATCAATTTTAAACATATAAAAAATCTTGTTTGAAGATTTTTTTGGACAATATCTTATTGAAACATACATTAAAATCACGTGCAATTAATTTTCTCAATTTCACACACACACACACACACACACATATATATATATATGTATATGTTCACAATTACTAAACATATATACAAATAAGTTTATATAGAGATGAATAGTAATAATATTAAATTCAAAATAAAATAAAATGATATTGGGTTCATCTGGTTGAGTTTGAACTTGTTTAATGTACATAATAATAGAGATTCAACAATCGTATTAAATCCAAAAAATAAAATGATATCAGATTCATTGCGTTGGATTGAGTTCAAATAAAAGTAACTCAATATCAATCCAATACCTGTGGACTGAAGAACTTAAACTCGATTAGACATCGGGTTGATTTATTTCGTGTTGGGTTGAGTTGATCAGGTTGGTCGAGTTTTTTTTATCACCCCTACTTTAAATAATTTTTAAAATCATATATTTATACAAAAAATGTTAATACATGTTTTTATAATTACGATTTTTGAAATTTAGTATTATAACACTTAATAAAACTTGAAAATCTTGATACATGATTTATAAAAAACTTATTTAAAAAAAAATCGCCTCTATATATAACCGGTCCTTGGCTAGGCCTCCAATTTTCGTAAAAAAGCATAGCTGGTCCCTATACATCAGTCTATAACTGGTCCTTAACAGTCCCTCCCGGGGCCATTTTTTGCAATCTATATTTGCAACAACTATGCTGTTTTAGAAAATTGGGAAAAATTCAAAAAAAGAAAAAACCCAACAAACTTTTCAATTTTGAATGGTTTAGTCTTAAACTATTTTTTTGAATGAAAAAACCGTTGAACTTTCTCATTTTAAATGATCAAGTCTTTGAATTATTATTTTTTTGAATAAAAAACCCATTAAACTTTCTTTTTTTGATTGATTAAGTCCATGATTTTTTTTTTAATAAATAAATCATCGGACTTTTAGAAACTGGTTACCTACATTATTTTAACCCAAAAAGATTAAATTAACCGACTAGTAAAAGTTTGATAGTTTATTTATTTCTTTAAAAAAATTCAGGGTCTTAATCATACAAAATGTGAAAGTTTAATGGTTTTTTCATTCAAAAAAATAGTTCAGGACTTAACCATTCAAAATGAGTAAGTTTAATGGTTTTTCCACTCAAAAAAATAGTTTTTTATGGACATAAATTATTCAAAATGAGAAAGATTGTTGAGTTTTTTTAGACTTTTCCCTTTGAAAATTTGGGGATTTTAGAAAATTTTGCTCCAGTTATATTTTTAAAATAGAAAAAGAAAAAAAAGAGGGAATGAAAATCTTTCTAAATTTGGAAGAAGAAAAAAAATATAGCATACCTGTTAGAGATGTTCTTAGTTAACGCACAGTGTAAATGCGAGATGATCAGATGAAAATCTTATATATTGTGATATATATTTGGTTTACAATGTAAATTTTTTATTTATACTTCTTGTTAAAAAAAGACAGGTAAAAAAAATKCTCATGTTGTGATACAAATATACGTTAATCAACACCTTAAATTCAGGCCATGTTTGAACTCCTGACCTCTTAGAAGGCCAAAAGCTACGATATCGCTAGGCCAAAAGTCCTTTAGTTGTTTTATGGATGTTTCATTTAGTTAAAGACACGGGTCACAATGGCAAGCCTTTCGACACATTATCGAATCTTATTTGCATGGAATATTTCTCCCACTTTTTTTTAACGTCTTGAATATGTTGTAAATTGATTTTAAATTTAAATTTTTTGGGTTCGAAGTAACTGGATATAACAATCAGTTAAAGAATTACCATATCAAAGCTGATGTTTTTAAGGTATACGTGAAATTACTTAATTATCCTTAACTTGCATCAACTGATCATTTGGTTATTTGGTTTCTGAAATTGCAACCATAACTTTGAAAACACATACAGAGACACCCTTTAAGAAGTCTTCGAAGTAAAGCTCCATAACTAAATACGTACTCCTTTTTAAACACATAATCAAGATATCTGAATGTGTTAATGTATATAAACGTATTTTTCAAAAAAGGGTATACAGACATTCAAGAATAATTCATATGTTATGCTTTTTAACTGCATAATACATAAAAATGTTGGTGACCATCTAAATACCATTAAATAGAACACTTCATAACGTTAGATCTCATCTACCCTACTGACCTCTGCTATCGTTTTGAGACCACAACATGCAGCATGGTTTGGTCCCCCTAGTCCTATCGCAAAGGACGCTATGAAAAAGGTTAAACCAAAAATCAGATTCAGAAAAGACTGGATTAATAAAACAGTTAAACTTTTTTTTAATTACTTTTCAAGATTCTTTCACATGGGAAAGGCAAACTTGGGTCCTAAAGCCAAAGCCAACCAAAGATCCATTTTGTGGACTTACCCTCATGTGCATTTATGTCTTTGAGTGTAGTCATTCTTTCAATCCTTGTCTTACAATCACAAATACAAAATGATTATATGAAAAAGTAACGTATTATAACTTGATTCATATTTTGGGTAACGTATTTTTAAAACTTTTATTTTGGTATCTAAGATCTAAAGTTTTAAACATTTAAGTATCCGGGTAACCGGTTGAAAACTAATGTTAGATTAAAAAAATTAATGTCATTAACAACGTCAGCAACTAATACTGAGTTGGTACTATATTACTCGTCACATCAACATAATAACCGGTTAATGCTTCAACGGTTACCCGTGTATTTAAATGATTAAAACTTTACATTTTATGTACCAAAATAGAAGTTCTAAAAATACGTTACCAAAAATAAGAATCAAGTTAAAGTACGTTACTTTTTATGCAATTTGCCCCCTATAATATGGGTATACTTTATAAACATGAAAAACAATGTAAATATACATTAATTAATTTTTTTTCATATTATAAATATTTTAAAGTTAAAATT